AAAAAATAAAATAAGAATAAGAAACTCAAATAATTATAATAAAAGAAGTCAAAAAATAATCTACGTATGAAAAAAGATTAAAATATACCTTGAACTTTGCTAGAAGAATCATATATACCCCTAAATAATTTTTAACAAAATTAAAAGTCAAAAATATAAATTTAAAACTAACTTTTTCACTTCCGTTAAATGAAGGGTATATGTGAGCTCATTTTGTAACGGTAGGGGTATATGTGAGCCGTTTGTATAACGGTAAGGGTATATATGAGCCACTTTCATAACGAGGGGCATATCAACTCCAAATGACAAAGTTGAGGGGTATATCAGGCCCTTTTTCCTTTTAAGTATGACCTCTAACTTTCATAGGGCACAAGTAGACACTTTAACTTTTCAATTCTTAAACAAAAAAACACGCGAATCCAACAGCCAAATTGTGTGATATACAAACGCTCCTACGTGGCTTATTGAGCCACTCAGTGGCTGCCACGTAATTAAAAAATTACACGTATTTTATAATTAAAAAAAAGAAATTAAAATACAAAAGGGTAGGGTCGTATTTTCTTTTCCCAATTTGCTCGACTTTCACTCAACATCAGCGGAGCCCTAGCCCTAATTTCTTTGTAAATCACAGTAAAATTGTGAAGATTTGTGGTCAAAGTTCTTATCTTTTGGATGTTTATGTGTTGTTCTTCCTCAATTTAGTCTGGTTATGTTAATTTTTGCTTTTTGAAAGTTTATTTTTGGTAGAAGCTGTCACCATGAATGTAAATTCACTTTTTTTTATACTTGAATTATTTGCAGACCAAGAAATCTTCGTTATAGCTCTTTTTACACAATGACAAAAAAAATTAGAAGCCATTACATAAAAAAACGACCAAAAATTGTGCACAAAAGAGAAAAAAGCCTAAGTACTAGAATTAGGAAGAAGAAGAAGAAGAAAAATGAGATTTTGATTTGAAAAAAATAAAGATATATTTAAAAGGGATTCATTAAGGGTAAAATTGTCATTTTCGCTTTTTTTTTTTACTGTTGTCGGCCTCGAAAAATACCCCTGACGCGCCTGAATTGCGTCTCAATCACGCGTTATGCCAGGTTGAATTCGCGTTGTTTTTTTGTTTAAGAATTGGGATAGTTGAAGTGCCTACTTATGCCCTTTGAAAGTTTTAGGTCATACTTAAAATTCGAAGCCAAGTTTAGGGTCCAATTTATGTATTATGCCTTCATTTAAAGACATAATACATAAATACACGATCCTTAACTTGGCCTCAGTCAGTAACTATGACCTTTAACTTTGGATGTGCACGAGTAGTTATTTAAATTTATATAAAATTGAACAAAAAAACACACACATTTTCATGGCATCCTACATAAAAAATTTATGTCCTATGCGACGTCCTACATGTATTATGTCACATAGGACATGTGTGTCTATATATTCAATTTTATACAAGTTTAAATGCCTACTTGTTCATACTTAAAGTTGAAAGGTATAGTTGTCCGCTGAAACTATGTTAGGATCATGCTTATGTATTATGCCTCATATAAACAAGTCAGAAGATACGTGATATTTTCTGTCCTTTAGTAATCTTTTTACAAATTTATATTTGGATAGTTTCAAATGTATATTATAAAATGATTAATATATGATAAATATAATTATATTTTTGTTTATATAAAAATAGCTAAAATCATAAGAGATATATTGTGATCATATAATATAGTTTGTGAAAAATCATAGAAAGTACGTTATACGGTATAACTTACCTATATATGAATTATATATTGATTATATATCATACATCCTCTAAAAGTTGAATATAACATAACTATACATAGAATATACTCTGAGTATACTTGAAATATACATTGATTATTCAATCTCAATCAACTCAAAATTACATCTAAACTATCTCAAAACGTTTGATATGATTTTTTTTTTATGTTTCGAGTCTATTGATACATAATTTTCTAAAAACTATTCATATTCGTGGTACATCGAATTTTTACAAAGAAGAAAAAGCTGGAAGAAGAAGAGGAAAAAGAATCTAAAAGAAGAAACTGGTAGCAGAAGACGACGACAATAAAGGTGGAGAAGAATTAACCATTTTTTTTATAATTAAATTGACTGAATAATCATTTGATATAATTATCCTAACAAAAATGGTCTCTATTTTATTTATTAAGTGTTAAGGTGATGTGCCTTAAATCTGATCCAAGAAGAAGAAGAAATTGAAGGAAATGTACTTATGACTCTTTATGTGAAAAATTTTAAAATGTCAATATTTTAGCATTTAATGGACCCTCTTATCAACATTTTCAATATTTATTAAAAATGTCAATATTTTAGTTTGTTATTGTTCTGATTTATGTATTTCCTTTTGTTTGTTTGATTTGAAAGAATACAATTATTTAATAATAGAAAGGAGAAAATCACGGATAGAATATTTTAAAAAAAGGAACATATCACTTAAAATTCTCATCAGTTACAATTTCAAAAGTAATTGATTGTATTCATTCCAATATGTATGAATTATGATATGTGTATTTGTATTCATTGTGGTTTTCATGTAATGACATTTGTATTTTTTTTATTAGTTTGTATTCATTCCAATAGGTATACCAAATTTATTTGTAGTTATTAAGAAAAATATTTGTATCCATATACTTATGTAAACTCGTGTTCATTCAGAAAAGATACAACATTGATTTGTATATTTTTCAAAAACGTATATTCTTTCTTAAAATTCCAACAAAATTTGTATTCCAGTCATCAAAAACATACAAATTTACAATCAAAATTTGTATTTAAAAAAAAAATGTATTTCTTATTTGTTATGTATTCCAAAAATATATTGTATTCAAAGTTTATTTTATAGAACATCTACTAAATCAGATTCCAAATTATTTTGTATTCCAAGCATCCAACATACAAAAAAAGTCAATAATTATTTTTTAACTTTGAAATATGGCTGATGATTTTGTACTTGCATTTCCTTTGGGTCCTTCTGCATGTGAGAAAGATGCAAAAATACTTCAATTCCTTGAAAAGATAACTAGAATTGTTGATGTCGTCCAACAAAGTGTCTTAGATGAGATATTGATCCGAAACTCACAAATTGAATACCTCAGTGACTGTCTAACCTTTAAATTCAATATTCAGATAGTAACTTATGAAGATCTTCAGATCCAAAATATAAAAAACGTTCCAGATCCATTTTCGAATCACTTTTTCAATAGCCATTTTCGAATCAACAGTTAATGAATACCTGATCGTTTTTGTATTTCACCGACAATCTCAAAGCTCAACGAAATCAATCCAATTCACTTCAAAATCTTAATCGATTATTTCAAAATTTTCTTCCCTAATGGAAACAATCGCAAATCAGTCGGATTCACTTTGACAAAGGTTGAAAATCTTTTGAATGATTTCTGAGATTTTTTCGAAAAATGGAGGAATTTGATTTAGAAAACGCAAGGTTTACGTTAGTTAAAGATGTGGAATAATGGAAGAAATTGTGAGAGAGAGAAAAAGAGAAAGGATAGAATTTTAGTAAAAAATTGAGAGAGAGAAAAGTATTAATGGGGTCTTTGTTTTTAACTTTCACACGTAATGAAGTAAAAAAATTGGATAAATTTGAGAAATAAAAGGAAGGTAAATGAATTATATTAGGATGCATTTTCTTTGCTAAAATATTGACATTTTGACATTTTTAATAATTATTTTAAAGTGTAGATGCTTTTAATAATTATGTTAGATATTTGACTAGTTAGCTAATTTATCCTTTAAACTATGAACGTTGCAATTTAAAAAATGACTGATTATTTTAAATATATAGCATTTAAACATTTAAAATGATTGTAATACTTTTGGTTGCTTATCGTTATGGTTGAAAAATTAAATTGTATCGTAAAATGAATCAGACATATTAAAATTTAATATTTGATTTGATTTTAAATTAAGAAAATCAATAATGTTTAATTTGATTTTGATTTTATTTTAAAATAAACCAAATTGAATCGAGTTACCATAAATTTTATAATTATTTAAATATTATTCATAAATAAAATATAAAAACTCATGTTAGTGCTTTTGGTACATAATTTAGTTGTACTCCTCCATGGGTAGTTAGACAATTGTTGAGCTTGAGGTTTTCATTTTATTTTTTGCTATAAAAAATTAGTATTCTTTTGATCTTCAGTGTATAATGATTTTAGTATTTGCCTATTTAAATTTCTTTATTTGTGTAAAAATAACTCTAATATTGTTTAATTGATTAATTGAATCTACAATAGCTTTTATATGGATTGTTCATGTACGAGGTGTCCGTGTCTATTGAAAGATGTATGCTCTCATCGCACTTATTGCTTTCAAATTGAAAAAACTAAAATACCCGAATTAAATCGAATCGAACTATAGTTATTTTTTTATTTGATTTTAGAAATTTAAATACCGACTGTTTGGATTATAATTTTAACCAATAATCACTCCAAAACAAACCATGAAAACCTCTAAAATAATACTCAAATATACAAAAAAATATTTAATTTGTTGTTGCGTTAAAATTTTTCTTCTCCTCAAATATTGCAGAACCTAATAAATTGCTCGCTCTTTCTTTTTTCAATATGACAGAAGGAAGAAGTTTTGGGAAATATTTAGGGTACCCTATCTATGTTAACAAGGTGGATTGGAATGACCTTCAGTTCCTACTTGAGAACTTCAAGCGCCGTTTGATGAGTTGGAAAGTTAACTTGTTTTCTGCTGTGGGAAGAGCCACTCTTATCCGATCTACTCTTAACAGTCTTCCCAACCACGTAATGCAACTTATCAAAGTCCCGGATCATATGATCAGATGGAACGCTGTGAGCGTAACTTTTACTGAGGAACTACCTCCACCCATAAAAGGCTTTATCTTCTTAAATGGTCTTATATTACTCAACCAAATGATAGTGGTGGACTGGGTATTCAAGATTTGTGCACTAAAAATAAAGCTCTTCTTGCGTCAACTGCTTGGAGACTTTTCCAATCACCAAACTCCCTTTGGGCTAAGATTCTCTACAACAAATATTTAGAGCGCTCTACTAGGCCTACTACTGCTTCTCGTACCTGAAAAACTCTGAAGCTTGGCTGGGCCAACTCTAGACATGGATTGCTATGGCGGCCTTCTAGAGGAGATCATATCAATCTCTTTCATGATCCTTGGTATACCCCAGGTGTCAGTCTGCGGATGCTTATTGAGGGACCTCTGACAGAACGAGAAACCACCTTAACGGTAGCTAATATGCGACAAGTTCGCAACTGGTCTCTTAATGAGCTATCTTTTGAATTACCCCATAACATCATGGCATCAATCGACTCTGTTTATTTTCCCCGATTTGCAATATCGTTTGATCATATTTCTTGGGGTTTGACGGAGACAGGCATCTTCTCAGTTAAGTCTTGCTTTACAGAACTTAAGAAGTTAACTAACTTAGAGTTGCAACTGAATTCGACTACCAATGTTGAGTTCTCTTGGATCTGGGGAATGCACCTTTCTCTTAAGCTTAAGCAATTTTTATGGCTTCTCAACCATGGACGGCTGTCGACCTCTAGTTTTCTCCATAGCATCAATATTATCCAATCCCCTCTTTGTGTGCTTTGTGATTTGCGAGTAGAAGAGACATGTGCTCACTTGTTCCTTTTATGTCCTAAATTAGCATCGTTATGGTCTGAGTTAATCAACAAATTGATTCACTGGGTACTTCTCCTCTGCTGGAAATTTCAATTTGGTTGTCTCGCTTTGTAACACTTTTGGGTGGTAGATTTATTCACCGCATACCCGCTTCAACCTTCTTTCCCTTCTGTCTCTGGACTATTTGATTGGCACGAAATAAATATATCTCCGAGAGGCACCCTTTCTCGGTAACACCTTCGTCCATTGCAAACGTGGCAGGTGAGTACTGGTTCATGGCGGGGAATCCAAAACCAAATCGTAGTTCTGTGCGCATGTATGTCAAGTGGAACCCGCCTACAAATTCCAACTTTATGCTTAATACAGATATTGGTTTTGATTCTGCCTCAGGCTTATCAACCTTAGGGGGTGTTTTTAGGAATAGTGTCAGAGATTGGATTCTTGGATTTACAGACACTTGTCCTACTTCAAAGCCTCTTGAGACGGAAATGCGGGCCCTGTTGCTAGGACTCACCTTAGCACTGCATGCAATATGAGATGATGCATCTGGAGATTAACATTGACTCACTACAGTTGGTACACATGTACGTTAAACTCCCCTCTGTTTCATGACTCTCCTTTGTTAATTGATTGTATGTACCTCCTCCGCAGAATGGGTGATCCACGGGTTAGTCATGTTTACAGGGAACAAAACAAACTAGCGGATGCTTTAGCTGCTGTCGCCATAACTACTACTTTTGTGAATAATAACACTATGTTGTTTTGGAACTCTCTAGCATCCTTGACGGATATTTTGCGGGCTGACAAGAATGGAGAGTTGTATAGTAGAAGAGTGCAGGTTGTGTCCCACTCCAGTAGGTTAATGTCTAATACTAGTTCGGTTAGGCAGGTTGTACATACATCCTCCGCTAGTTCGGTTGTTTCTGTAGTGGCACAGCCATAACTTATGACCCTGTAAACTGTTTTGTTATATGTTATTTACTCTTTTCTTACAAAAAAAAAAAATGCCATTTTACTAGGTTAAGTTAAATAAAATAATATTAAATATTTTCAAAATTTATAATGAGATTATGGCCAGTAGAGATAAATATACATTTGATATTCAATTTCTTTGAGCTAAGTTTTATATTTAATTTATAAGAAATTTATTTAATATGTATAAATTATTAATTTATAATCTTATACTTACTTTTAAAATTTTGAATCATAAATTTCATATTTTGAATCGATTTATGAAATATACACAAACTAAATAATACTATAAATTATATATGATGATAATAAGTTTCACATTATTAATACAATGAACTCTTTTTATTAAGAAAATATATAAGTAGTAGAATAAAAATTTACAAAAATAATATATTTTGTATGTAGTAATTATTTTTTTTTGCGTATCAACTACGCGTGTATTTACCAGTTCAAATAGGCAATTTTAACCTCATTATTAAAGGGCATTGAGCCACCCCTATATTATTCTTTTTCTTAATTAACGAAGGAATTCTTGCATGTTGGAATTTCGGAGATATGTCCGATCAAAACCCTAAACCCTAAATCTATTATCTTAATATTCTAAGGAAAATTCAAGAAAAGAAATTTTTCAAGAACCTGTTGGCTTTTTTCAAGAAAATTCAAGTACTTTTTTAAAAATAAGTTAAGTTGTCATTCTGGCAGTGTATGTTAAGGATGCTCAAGAATTTGTTTTCCCTTGCTTTCGCCTGTTAAGTAATGTACTTCTCTTCCCATTTTCTTGATTTTATTCTTTTTAATTCATTAAGAAAAAGAAAAATTGTTCTGGTACTTTCCTTTCATCATAAATTCCCCTCATGATCTTCATGTATTTTAAGTCTCATTTTAGTAGCGGCTATATTAATCTATAGATCATGATCGACGCATATGGGTGTTACAATACGTCTTCGATCAAGAAGAACATAATTTAAAATCGAAGATTGTAAATTTGCAAATTCAACATTACTATTCGTTGAACTAATCAGAAATTCCTTTTATATAGTGGATATACATGGACATCAACAATATAAATACACCATTGTTGACTTTTGTGTTACATATATACCTTTTCTTCTATTAGTATGATGATCCATTCTAGTTTCAAATGAATATTTTTATATCACACACTATTTCTTTATTACCATGAGATTTACATCCTTGTAGGACTGTTCTTTTTATGTTTGTTATTCTTATAAGTTGTGTTCTCCTAGGTTGAACTTTAATCCAGTTTCCATTTGCTATAGGCATGGGATCTGCTATGTTAAGGTCAATGATAATGGTAAGTATTAGTTTCTTTGACATTGATCTAATGCTTTTTGATGGGCATAAGTTCTGCTCAATTTATTATTTTAGTTGTACCTTCTTCTGAAGGATATGGTGTCTCATGAGATGGACTGATACTGAGGAGAGAAAGATATGGTAGTCATTTTGCAAAATATTGGATTGACAACTATTATGTTCATAACTTGGAATGGTTGTCGTAGTATATAGGGTTGCATGCATTGATCAACTGATTGGCTGTTTGACGGTTTGTGTTCGTTACTATCTCTTTACAGATGTCCTTTTATTTATTGTTTTGTGGGTTTACTTGTAATTGAGGAAACTGGGATGGCTTTACACGACACAAAATATTGATTCTTACATTTTGTTTTTGCTTTTATTGTATGATGTTCATGTACGTCGCATTTCTGGTGCCTTATTTGCAATAAAATACTTTCTTTATCTGTACCGCGTCCCAAAACATATATAAATAGAGAGAGATGAAATATATTTTTTGTTGATCACAACTGTATGAAGATATTTTTTGATTATTTATTCTAAGCTAAAGTTGAGTTGGAACATACATATTGGTACTTAGGTACTTTTAGCTAGCTCATAGAGATATTAAATGTCCCTTGTTCTTGTTTGTCAATTATAACATGTCACTTGTTCATTTTTGTTTCATGTTAGATGTGCAATCAACTTGCCAGAAATGATGTGTAGCATTGAACTCCCTTTGTTGGCACCATTGATACTGACTGTGTTAATCTGATAAAAGCTATTTTGATGTGTATTTCAAGAATCTCTTGTGGTGACTAGTTGGTTCTTAATGGTACTTGTACGATGGGTGCCCTTTCCTTCTCTTTATTGAGGATACTGTCGCGAATATCTGGACTGGAAGTGACTTTGTCGGTGAGAGCAATTGTAGAAATAGTCAATCAGCTCCGCCATTTTACCATGGCAAGAAGAAGTTATTTGCCACGACTGAGTTTTCAAGAAAGGCAGCAGGAAATAAGAATATTAAGACTGTTCATGATGTGCCACTCAGGCCAGGTAATTAGTCCTTGAGTGCTTGTTTGTGTTAATAATCAACGATGTTAGAAAATGTGTGCAACTAGTTATTGTTCTTTTCCATCACGCAGAAACTAGAGCTGTAAGGAGACTGCATCATTCTGCAGAAGCTATCTGCTTGGTGCTTCCACGACAGTCATCCCATCAATGTGATCAATCTTCCACCCCAAGTTGTGGTGATGGTGTATTCTCTGATGAAAGGTAATGTTATCAAATTTCTTGGGAGGATTAGGTCTCGTTCTGATATTATCTCAATCAAATATGTTAGTAATTCACACGACCTGATGTTTCTCTCTTCAGGTCAAGTGTGAAACTGAAACTTGTTAACATTTGGAATAGCAAATTACAAGCTCTAGGGGAGTGCACAAGTACACATGATGAGGAGTCAAAAGAAAGTAAACTATTCCTGCGCTGCCATTCATTCCTGACGTGAATAAGAGCTGAATTTTTCTACTGCATGTTTCAGTTAATTAGCTTCATTTCTTTCACCCAGTTTTCAAGATTATCTTAGAGCATTCTTATTAATCATGAAAACATTACAGATTACAATGTCTTTTTCCAAGTCTCCTGGGCCACAAAATAGTCTCTTTCAAATTCCATCTTGCTTGTGTGTCATGCCTGACATTTTTTATTCAAATTTTCAGAATTTTCACAAACAAAATCTTAAAGTTTCTTACTGAAGAAAATGAGTGATATACGGTGCTTTCTCTTTTGCTTCATCACTTTGTGACTGTTTGGCGGAGTTTATTCTTGTGTAGAAACTTAGGCCCACGTCGAGATAGATGAGCACTCCTTTTTACATAGTCAAGGACTATGATCTTTTGTTTGATTCTAACATTTATCTTCGTTGAACATTATACTCATTGTCATGTTCTACAGCATGCTTCAGATGAATGAATTTGTAACTTACTGAATTATCAGGTCCTATCTGGAAAAATGAGGACAACAACCTATCTTGATTCTGAGCAAGAAATGGTATGTTTATTTTGGTCATAGGTAACACTGATTTTGAGTCTTTGACCATGATTTCGCAGGTCATGCCTGTTACCAAATTCAAAACTGGGGTTGGATCTGCAATGTTCATTCTCAAGCTTCAAGATCATTTACCAAGTAAGTTACGATCTTTGTTTGGAGTTTCATGTCACAACCAGTCTATGGAACTTGAGAAAACTGTCATTTACATTGCACTTACTTTTGCAACATGAAGTTATATGTTTTGGTTGAAGCAGTAACATAAATCTGATTCACAAGCAGCTAAAATCTGTCACACTTCTTGCGGTAACATTTTCTAATACTTGTCTCTGTCATATTATACATTCCTAAAGTAAAGTACATGCAAACCATTTGCAAATCGGTCTTAGAAGGGAAAGGTATTGTAGTACTGATTGTAGTTGTTGATACAGGATTAGTTGCTCACCTACTACATTCTCAAACCTTTTACTACAACTTATAGCTTATCTCTTCAACATTTATATTCCTCCCTCCGGTGGATATATGCCTGTCTAAATGTGGAAAAAAAGAATGAAAAACATTTCTTCTCAGACTAGTTATTCTGTTTTGAGGTATCAATAACACAGTTTATATCAGTTCTGTGCTCCATCTTAAGGCTTTCATGTGTCATTTGTGCGCATTGTCTCTTAAGGTCCATTTTATGTTGTTTTTTTTGGTAAAAAGTAAATACCATTGACAAACGAAGGAGCCAATACACCTACAGAGCGGCTAGAATTCATAGCCACCTTCTATGATCTTTTAAGCCTCCTACTGAACAAGAGAACTAGTTACATGAAAAATGTTGAATCAACCTATAATTTCTATGAGCTTTCTTAGATCCTCTAAACAATGCTATTCTCTTTGTATATTCCATTTTATGTTTTAATTGGGTTGGTTATAGCAAGTAAATTATGAATTGTAACTTATAAGGGAAGAGCTTTTTTGTTCTAATACCATCAGTAACTAGACAATGCTAGAAGTTGTTTCTTTTTGAATTATTGTAAGGCCTTGAAGCTTGAATAGCTTCCAACATGATTTGGAAAACTATTCATGAAATCATTCATGTTTTAGGAAAATACTCCACTAGCTAACTAGATTCTCTTGCACGTGTTTCATAAGAAAATGATTGTTTTCTTGATGATAATACAGACTCCGTGTATTTTGGGCATCAATCTAAGTGATGTGGATCTGTTAGAATTTATTCAACAGGCATTAGTCCATCGACTCTAACTAGCTCTCATATTTTACTCTAACCTTGTTTAAGTTCTTGCTTAAATGTCGTGTCATGTTCTCTGAATAATGTATTAGCTTGCTGATACAGATGGAGCATCAATAGTACCCCATCAGTGAATCGGGTCCTGAATAACAAGACTTGCAAGGAGTAAGTTAATATTTAATGATTTTAGATATTTTTCTTAATTCCTGATGTCTTTGTTTTCATTTGTGTTGGAACAATATGAAGTCATGGCATGGATTGCATCGGCATGAAATCAACCTATAATGTGCAGCAAAGTGACTAAGATCATCTGTATCCTAGTGACAAAATTATCTCGTGAGTATACCTAATTTAGTTCTATGCTACCTACCAAGCAATTAATAATTTCGTGCTGAAGATGATATGTAGTCTGTGATCATCACAGTGAAGTTAATCTGGATCTGGAGCACGATGCATCTATAGAGATTCAAGAAATAAATTGTACATCAACTCTCTCTCTCTCTCTCAAAACACACACTCATATGCTCATACGTACACACGCATTGCTGCAACCCTCAATTTGCCTTCTCCACAACCATTCACCCTATCACTTGAGTAGTTTAGATCTTTTAATTTAGTAAAAGTAAGTACTTTTAATCTCTATCAAATATTTATCAATATTAATTATTAAATTTTATCAATACTTTAAAAATAAATTTAGTAAAATTAAGCACTTTTAATTATTGAAACATAGAAATATGAAAGCATACAATGTTAAAGTTCAAAATTTTGACCAAAAAAATATCTAGCATACAAATTCCTTACGTTCTTAGTTGTAAATTTCATGAACTTAAAGATCATTTCCTTGAGTTCTCTCACATTGACAAGTATTTTGGTGATATTCGAACTCATGAACATAATTAGAATATGTATATAAGTTAAATTTAACTCAAATTAAAATGTAAAAAAAATATTAAAATTTCAACTTCATGAATAACTTATGGAATTCAAATTCCTAAAACGATTCATAGGGTTCAATGAGGAAGAAGAACGTATTTTTTTAATACTTAATTTATTGATATCTTTATTAAGTTTATTATAAAATGATTATATATTATTTACTTTTGAAAATAATAGTTAGTTCCTCATCACTATTCACTAGTCAAAGTGGGGAGAGGTGGCTATTATTTTTTCCATTTTATCCACCTATGTGCCGCATAGCTTCCTCTCTTTAAAAAAAATTAATTTTTTGTTTGTTAGTTGTTTTCAAACTGAAGCCAATCCATATCACACATACATGTATATGTTATCATGTCTCAATAACTTCACAATTACCATTTAGGTTTAAAGTCGGCTTATATCCTCTACAATCGAGATATATTAGTCAACCAATAGATGTAATTCAAAATTTAATTTGAACATTTCACACATTTGCATTCTACAAGATATTTGTGTATTCTTAAGGAATTTTAATTTCATCACTGAACACATACATTTTTGCCTTATGTGTTATCCAAATTTCACTTTCCCTCTATTTTATTTCCTACCAACAATTACACCTATTGGTATAAATGATTGTTTTATCACAAATAATATAAAATGGTTGTTTTATCATAATTTTTGTGATGACTATTTATAAAAATTTCTCATTTGCACAGGATGATTCCTTTTGAAACCGATTAATAAACAAAATAAATTTACATAAATCAAAACGAAGGTGTACTTGTGAAACTTAACACAAATATTCTTTCTATATTAATAAATTAAAGAGTCAATTTAGTGAATCACAATTAGCCAATAAAGCAAATCGCTTAGATTCCTGGCTAATCTAGTCATTGTTCACGTTTCCAATCGCCACGTGTCACAACCTCATTCCTACGTTTATGTTAGAGAAAAACTTAGAATAATAACATGCTTAGTGCTTACCATGTGATTAATTAAAAATTAATACACCTACAAAGGCCAATTCTGATTTTTCTTTTGTTTTGTTATATTGTCATTATTGACATAATTTATGTTTACTTTTGTCGACTAACTATTGATGATTACGTGACAAACACATCAATGGCCTACCTTGAATAGGACTTTGATTTATATTTTGTTTTCCTTTTTTGTTATCCTCACTATGAACTTAATTTAATTTAAACATTAGTTCAACTAATATATACTGACCAAATTTAAACATGTAAATACCTAGAAGGACGGCGAGCTAGTGTAAACACTTGGATAAAAACTTACATATCACAATTTTGTATTAAATTATATTTATTTTTCGTAATTAAATAATAAATTGATGTTAAAACTTATAATTAATATATTCTGTATTATCGAATATAGTGATTCTAAAATTTGGAAATTCATCCTTTCATTAGGAGCTTCACTATCCAGAAATGTATGATCACACTATGTTTAGGATAGTATTTGGCTTTTGTATTTCTATAGGGGCATTCTTATATATAAAGTCACAATTCCAACCTCATTTTTAGTGTTTTTTTTTATGAAAGCATATTAAATTTATTCTTGTTATATTTATTTTTGAATGTGAATAATTTTGTCATTCGATATATTTTGAATTTGATCTTATATATTAGTACTACATATTATTATCCCCTCTTTGATATGAAAAAGTCTCGTTTTTAACCTTGACAAATAATTTATTGGTAACTTTAAATGAATTACAACCGTATATAGATAAATTTAAAATATTTTATACATAAAATTCACGTTATTTACGTTGAAACTTCATCAATATCAAGAATAAATACTTACATTTTTATATCATGAATGACGCGTATAATATCAATCCACCTAACAAAAAGTACTTTCGGCTCGTGTGAATTATAATGGTCATGGGAATTGGGAAGACCAATTGTTGTTCAATTCTTGTTTATTAAATTATTATTTCAAGGAAAAAAACAAAATTCTTATTTCATCGTCTATCTATCTTTTGACAACTTGGATTGTAATATATTTGTATAAAGTATACTATTTTGATTGTTTCAGCAAACAAAGACCACGATTATCTTACTCTGTCTATTATAGTAAAATAAAATTAAAAAAATAGCACGTACTTCATCAAATTAAACTACCACTATTACTGTATTATTAAGGCATGTTAGTAAAATCACTAAGAAGGAAAAAACACCCGTATACCAATTTTTCACTTTTTATGAGGATACCATCGTGGTGAAACAATTTAATGATCCAAATATTATAATTTGAACTAAAGATTACACGTTTAATTTTAATATTGAACCGGTTAAATTTGAAAGATCAAAATTGATATAGTTATATTTTTTTTATCTTCAAAAGTAAAATAAAAAATTACAAGATGAAAAATCAAACATTCATTAATAAACTAATAAGATAAAATTTTAAACAGTCAATCAACTAAACTACTATGGTTACTATTTTCTCACACAATTAGGAATTCTTCTTTGTCAAGTGTCGAAATTGTTAAGTGTTGTTGGGTAGACAAGGAATTGGAGTTACAAGGCATAACAAAAAGTTACCGCAAGAATAAATATGATCCCGTCTCAAATTATTCACGGTATATTTTAAAAACTAGTATACGTACCCGCGCGTTGCGCGAATATTTTAAAATTAATAATTTTTTAATTTAAAAATAATTCATATGAATTATTATTGAGTATTAAAATTGCAGGTGCAATCATATATAATGTTTTGATTTTATATTAATAGTTGATGCTAATAAAACTTTATCCTTTAAAGAGATAAAATAAGGATACACAAAATCAAACCGCAAGAATAAATATGATCCCGTCTCAAATTATTCACGGTATATTTTAAAAATAATTGTCTCAAATTATTTTATTTATTGTCTTAGCAATTCAAGACAAATTCACTAATGAATTTTTCCATTTCAGCCTTAGCAACAATTTTCTTGAAATTACAAACTTAACTACATAGAGATGACACATACATTAAATAAATATTAAATAAAAAGAGATTATATCTTCAAACATAAATAAGAGCAAAATAGTCAAACTCATTTTAAGAATAATATTTTCTTAAAGGGTTTGCACGGTAGAAATACGTCAGATAATTTAAGTTTAAGGAAATATCAAACAACGGGTAAAATAAATAAAAATCACTCTTAATTATTGTTATTGTTTTAATTTATTTGACATATTTCTTGACTTTTTTAAAATTATTTTTTAATTTCAACTTTTCAGATGACACGTTTAAAACCTCAAAAATAAAAATAAAACATATCGATACATTTAACATATTCTAAATTTAAGTTCATAAAATTTTAAAAAAAATCTTTACTTTCTTATATTTTTTATCAAAAATCAAAATTTTAGATTAAATAAATTTTTTAAAAAATCTTATAAAATGTGTAAAAAGAAAATTTGAGCCAAAAGGGAGTAGAACTCAATTAAATGAATTAACATTGGACACAAATAATTGTCGAAATGTCCCTAATATGTATATAACCTTTCAAATCACTACCTAACACACGTCTTTTCTTTCATCTCTTTCAAGAATTTCAAGATAAGAATTAGCAAAGGCCGAGTTTTGGATTTTCTTTAACAAAGTTTTAGTCAATGAAACTGTTCATACACGTACAATTTATTCAATCAATTCTTTGCGTGAAGCTTTCTTCTTCTTCCTTTTCTGTTTCTTATATTAACCATACAAAACCCTATTAAAGTTTTGGCCTTAAATAAATTTTATTGGTCTTCAATAATTTTTGAGAGACTGCGGATTGTTGATTTTTTTATTTTTTTGGATTAAGGACGATATATCAAGATTTTCCAATTCTGGGTTCTTGAATTCTTGTTCATTTTTTGTGTCACTCTTGTGGAAAAGGTTTATCTCAAAGAGTCTTGCTTTTAAAAAAAATCCATTTCAGGTATGATTTTTAGTATCTGTACTCTTAAAAGAAAATTGAGTAGATTCTATTTATGGGAGCCGTTGTTTGATTATGCTTATTGGTTACTTTCTTGTTTGATATGGTTTTTTGTGTCGGAATTATTGATTGCGATTTTGGGGGTAAATTGCAGTTAATGAGATTTAGTTTTGGGTTCTTTAACTTATATAAATAATTGGATTTTGTCCCAAGTAGTTTGTTTCACTGGTTAAATTCATTGTTCAAGAATGTTTGAAATTCTTGTGGAATTTGTTCCCTTTTTCAAGGGTCTATCAGAAATAACTCTCTATCTCGAGGTAGGGGTAAAGTTTGCATAAACTCTATGCTTCTAATCAATAATATAATTTAAAAGTTTCCTAGAACCCACTTGTGGGATTATAATACTGGGCATGTTGTTGTTGGGTAGATTGTTGAATTTACTATTTAGGAGGTCATAGAATGTATAGACTGATACCTGTTAAGTATTATGTGCAGATTTTTTTTTTCTGAAGGATTCAAAAAGCGTAAGCTGGTCTGCATATAGTTGGTAAAGTTTCCAATTTTGAACTCTCGAAGCTTCAGAATTCAAACATGACTATTGGAAGCATTAGACCTGTAAAAGAGAAAAAATCAAGAAAGAACAAACAGCCAGTAGTAGATGACCAATCGCCATTATTGCCTACAAAGCATCAGGAAGATGGGTTCAATGGGGCTTCATATA